CCGAGGTTGGCTGAGGAATTCTGGGAGTTGAAGTCCCCCAGCCTTAAAGTGCCCGAGGTTGGCTGAGGAATTCTGGGAGTTGAAGGCCACCAGTCTTAAAGCGGCCAAGGTTGGCTGAGGAATTCTGGGAGTTGAAGTCCCCCAGACTTAAAGTGCCCGAGGTTGGCTGAGGAATTCTGGGAGTTGAAGTCCCCCAGCCTTAAAGCGGCCGAGGTTGGCTGAGGAATTCTGGGAGTTGAAGTCCCCCAGCCTTAAAGCGGCCGAGGTTGCAGACCCCTGCTCTAAAAGTCCTGTTGTGGCTGAGCTTCAGTGGGGAGGCAGGTCTTTACCCACCCAGGTGGGCAAGAAAGACTCACTTCTCTGGTGGGACTCTGAACACCCGGGAGAGGGCAGTAGCCAGGATATCCTCTTCCTGGATCCCCTCCCGAGCTTTGAGGCAGTGAGGGGTCAGATCTCTCCCGCCAGCCCAGAGGTGGCCTTCAGCAGGTTCTGTCCAGTTCTGGAGAACCGGTAGTGGAAATTTTGAGTAGTTCGGAGAACCGGCAAATCCCACCTCTCACTGGCCCCACCAACCCCATCTATTCTTTGCCTCCCAAGTCCCAGCTGATTAGCTGTGTCTTTTGTTGCCCTGCCCAGGAGAACGGAGCTGGAAAGCAGGTTAGTGGGGTGGGGAGGGAAGGGGGATTTTGCAGTATATCCTTCCCCTGCCACGCCCACCAAGCCACGCCCACCAAGCCCATAGAACTGGTAGGAAATTTGTTTTTGAATCCCACCGCTGTCTTAGAACAGGGGTCGCCAACCTTTTGGACCTCAGGGACCACCAAGCTCATCATTTTAAATCCCGCAGACCAGAGACCCTGGGAAAATCCCCCCAAAAAAGTCTGCAGGAAAATCCCTCACCCCGTTTTCCTACCGATCGATCGTTCTTTATTTGGGATCACAGGATACCGTCTCCAGCTCCGTTCTCAGGGGGAAAGAGAGAGAGAAAGGGAGAGACTTTTGGCTTCATGCAAGGAAAGCAGCAGAAGCCGCAGAAGTCTTTCTTTCTCTCCCCCAAACTCCGTCAGAAATGAGACTTGTCACTCCAGTGCAGCCTCTTGGGAGCAGGAGGCCTTGCAGGGTCCCAAAGACTCATTCCTGGCCCCCTGGTTGGTGACCATTGTCTTAGGGGGTCGTTTTGAAGCCTCTTTCTGCCCCCATTATGCACCTGTGGGCTGTCTCCTCCCTTATCTAACCATTCCTTAAGCAGAATGTGGAGATTTTCAGTCGTCCAGGTCATGGTGGTCCCAAAGGTGCTTTTTATTAAAAAGGCAACTGGACTTTGTTTTCCCTAAGAAGCATTTCTTTGCCCTTCCCTCGGGGTCTGTCTCACATACAGGTAGTCCTCAACTTACAACCATTCCTTTAGTGACCGTTTGAAATTAAAATGGCACCGAAAAAAGTGATTTATGTATCTATTCTTTGCCTCCCATTGAGTCCCAGCTGATTGCCTGCCTGCCTGCCTGCCTGCCTGCCTTCCTTCCTTCCTTCCTTCCTTCCTTCCTTCCTTCCTTCCTTCCTTCCTTCCTTCCTTCCTTCCTTCCTTCCCTCCCTCCCTCCCTCCCTCCCTCCCTCCCTCCTTCCTTCCTTCCTTCCTTCCTTCCTTCCTTCCTTCCTTCCTTCCTTCTCCTTCTCCTTCTCCTTCTCCTTCTCCTTCTCCTTCTCCTTCTCCTTCCCCTTCCCCTCCAGAAGTGGTATTCATCAGATTCAGACTGGTTCTGGCCCCGCCAACCCCCATCTCTTCTCTGCCTCCCATTGAGTCCCAGCTGGATCGGCTGGGTCTCTTTTGGTTGCCCTGCACAGGAGAACGGAGCTGGAAAGCAGGTTAGTGGGTTGGGGAGGGAAATGGTGGTTTTGCAGTATATCCTTCCCCTGCCACACCCACCAAGCCATGCAACGCCCACCAAGCCACGCCCACAGAACCGGTAATACATTTTTTTTGAATCCTACCAAAGCCCCAACCCATTCCTCCCCTCCACTTGGGCGCGAAGCGTGGCGCCCTGACATTTGACCCTCCCTCCCGCCAAAGAGCCCTGGGGTGGCTGCACTTCCGCTGGGAGTTGTGAGTGAAAGCAAATTTGTTTATTGAAAAAATAACCATGGTTTTTTTTTTCTCTTCTCAAGAAATTCCATTGGTTTGGTTTGGTTTGGTTTGGTTTGACAAAGAAAGAGATTTGCATCTTTTTAAAAAAAAATTGAAATCCCCATCCCTTCCCCACCACAATTTTTATAGCAAAAATGTTCATGAAAGCCAAGGTTGGATTTTTTTGTGTGTGCGTTTTTGTTAGTTTTTCAATTCCAGAGCAACAATTGGGATCATTCCACAAGAAGCCATAAATCATGCTGGTTTTTATATATAGATATATATAGATATATATATACATGTTCCAAAATATTCTTTTTTTTTTTAACACATCCTGCTTTTAACATGAGGAAATGTAATCATGGCATTTCTTTTTTATTATTATTATTATTTTTAAAAAAGGCCCTTCCTTCTCAGGAGGTTCATTAAAGTGCTTTATGAAAGAGAAAGATTCGATTGATTCAAAATTATAGCGCTTCCAAGGTGATCCTGTATAAAACGTAGGCAGTTATTCACACACACACACACACACACACACACCCCTCTTTAAAGCTAAATACAAAAAAAATAAATACATTTTTTTCTTTGATTTTTGTCAAAGAAATTCCTTCCGTCCGCCATCATCTCTGTCTTGGAGCTGTCCATGGATCATGGTGCTGAAACATATTTAAAAGCTGTAACAATTGAGGAAAATGGGCCATACATCGCTATGGAGACTCATCACATGGAGTTTGAACTGTGGCTGAATCCCTTCCTTTCCTCCCCTCCTTTTCCCTCCCTCCTTCCTTCCTTCCTTCCTTCCTTCCTTCCTTCCTTTGATCTATGGAAGTTGCCTTCTCCTCTTCTTCCCTTAGCCCAGGGGTCTTCCAACTTGACAGTTTTAAGACATGTGGACTTCAACTCCCAGAATTCCTCCTCCAGTCCATGTTAGCTCAGGAATTCTGGGCGTTGACGTCCATCAGTCTTAAAGCTGTCAAGTTGGAAGACCCTTGCCTTAGCCAGTCAACCAGTTGGATGGATGTTGCTTGTCCCCATCCACGCTCATTTCCTTTCCCATGTTACTCCATCACGGACAGGCGGCTCCCCTTCCCTGAGCCTTCCTGCAAAGTGCTTCAAAGAATTGTCACTCCCCCCCACCCAAAACAGCAGCGTGTCCCCCTCTCCATCCCCTCCCCCTGGGAGGGTGGGGAGGCCATGCAGTTTAGAGCGTCCCGAAAGAAAAGCCCATGGTGTAAAACCCAAGTCCTTTGAGCTTCTCTTCGGCCCGGGCTTTCTGCTTCAAGTGGACCTTGCTGTGCCTTTTCTTCTCGTCGCTCCGGGCGAAGCGCCGGCCGCAGTCGTCACAGGAGAAGGGCTTCTCCCCCGTGTGGGTCCGGATGTGGGTGGTCAGGTGGTCGCTGCGGCTAAAGTTCCTCAGGCAGATGCGGCACTGGAAGGGCTTGTGGCCCGTGTGGATTCGCAGGTGTCTGTTGAGTTCGTCCGATCTCGCAAAGCTCCGGATGCAGTTCTCCACCGGGCAGGCGAAGGCCTTCTCGTGAGGTTTGGGACAAAAGCATTTCGAAGAACATTTCCCACGCCGGCCTTTCTTCTTGGGGCCCGCCAGGCTGCCGGGGGGCCGGCCAAGTCCCAAACTGTTGGCGGAAGAACTCGGGAGGTGAGTTAAAAAGTCCGCCATGGGGACGGATGACGAGGCAGGGTTGGCAGGCAGCTTGAGACCGTTGGGGTTCATCAAAGAGGTGAGGACTTCCAGATGGGAGGCAGGAGCTTCAAACTCTGGGTTGAACGGAGGGGAAAGTTTAGGGGCCTTGGTGTCTACGAAGTCAGCGGAGAGCGGGCTGTGGCTTAGGAAGGCCTCGGCGTTGCAACCAAAATCCAAGGGAGGCCCGAAAGAGCTGGAATGTTCCGAGAGTGCGTTCAGCTCCGACTGACAGCTGACCGTCAAGGCATTCTCCGTCTTGGAGACCATGTGAGGAAAGAGTTGGGTTTGAGTTGACTCTGCGGGGTGGAAAGACTCCGGAGTGGGACCCTCAGCCAGCATATAATGGTGAGGTTGGTTGAGGTGCTCCCAGGGGGAGCAGGAAGATTTGAACTTCTCCGCGGCGGGGGAGACGGAGGACAACTTCAGGTCCTGCTTGGAATCCAGAAGGTCCTTCTGAAAGAGGCAGTTGGAAGTGGTCCTGGGTTCAGGAGAAGCTTGGAACTGCGGGAGGCTCTCCGGACCCGAGAAGGAAGAGTAGGCTTGTTCAGGCAAAGACGGCTGTACGGAGATGTTCAGTTCTGGTTGGCAGGTAGAATAGAGGTCTAGGTGGTTCTGGAGGGCCTCTGGGATGGTATAGCTGGCCTCGGATGGCCGTGGGTGACCTTCTGGGGCAGAGAAGGG